TTTCATCTCATGTGCATTAAAACAAACCCTTTCCAGCCCTATTACAAAAGAAATGTACTATTCACATTCCAAAAACTAATCTGATTTTAGAAAGATCAACAAGATCAGGTTTTTGCTACAGGCATGCCTGCCCATGCAGGGTGCATGTGCGTACACGACATGTATAGATAGCGAGTTCCTTGTTTTAAACATCTGGGATGCAATTACAAAGCTAAACACGTTGGTCTCTTGCACATTTTATGAAATTTTAAATATAAAGAAATGCTTTGCTCTACAACAGTCCAATAGCCAAACTTATAGTTCAGTCTGGAAAGCTGAGGAAGACTGCTTGTAACCACATGAATGTCACATGAGTGTTTGACTGGGCAGATGCCAGAATTTGAAATAAGGGCAGTAGTACTGGCTAAAAGCAGCCAGATGATGGTTGGCACAATTGTAGCTGTTCCCTCAGGTCAGTTTCTGCAGTAAGCTGGTACTTCTCAGAGCCACAAAAAGAAGCTCTATCTAATGACTTCCTGCTACTTACCACCTTAAATGCTTTGAAAGCTTAACAATAGCTATCATTTTAACAATTTAAACAAAACCCGAAGGATGTATGCAACATGAATATGTATTTTCACTACTGACTGAAGACTGCAAATTTTACCTTTGGTTATCATTACTACATAATACGATCTGGAGTGGATTTTTATATTCCCTCATTTATTTGAATGCTTCAAACTGTTAGCTTTTCACTGTCCTGACATTGTTTCTGTACAACGAACCCTTGGGACGAATAACCGATGACCACAACTTTGCTATGTTTAGATAGTTACAGTTTCATACAAACTGGAGTGGATTCTGATCAAAGTGAATTGGTAAAATCCAGACAGCTTTCTACTATCATATATTCCTACTGTTTAAAGTTCCCTGGGTACTTTAGGTACCTAAAGTTTTGGGGTAATAATTGAAAAAGAAAAAAAGCCTACTTGAAAAAAAATAATAAAATCATAGAACAATAGAATTGTTAGAGTTGGAAGGGACCTAAAGTGTCATCTGGGTCATTCATTCCGATTCCCCAGCAATGAATAGGACACCTACACGGATTGATCAGGTGCTCAGAGTCCCTTCCAGCCCGACCTCAAGTGTTTCCAGGGACAGGGCACCTTCCCCTCTCAGGACAACCTGCTTCAGTGCTCAGTGTAAAAAACGTCTTCCTTTTTTCCCCAATCTAAATCTCTCCTCTTTCAGTCTGAAACCACTTCCCCTTATCCTATCACAACAGATCCTTCTAAAGAGTCTGTCCCCTTTTATCTTATAACCCCTTCATTACAATTAAATAAAGGCATTTGTTTGCATTTATAGCTTCATGCAATTGGTCACCATGGATGTTATACACATGGAATAATGAGAACAAAATATTTACCAGTTTAAACCACAAGATGATGCCTTTGTAGGTGCAGGGAAAAAAAAAAAAAAAAAAACAGCTGCTTGTAGGAAACTAGAATTTCAAAAACTCTTCAGTAAGTAGGTTGTCCCAAAATGAAGCCAGCAAACACAAAAAACACACGTACATGGTATGCAACTCCACTTCAGGCCACAAGATAGAGCCATTACCGCTGCCTCTGCAGCCCAGCAAGCCTGAGCCGAGCAAAAGCCCAAGAGTCACTCAAGTCTGGGGACAACAGTTTTCAGTACCTAACAGAAATGAAACCCCATTATAAAGGTGCTGTACTGATAATACATTATTGGTTTGATTATCATATTTTCAAAGTTAAAAGAAAAACACAGAACCTTTACCAAACAGTTTAATTTCATCATGATAGATGCTCATGGACTATATCGTAAGAAACCCTGAAACTTGCCTTTTGACATGTACACAGCTTTCTTGAATAGAAATACCACTTCATTCTTGTCCTTTTCCTATGTTTCTCCCTAGTTACTTACTGCTGGAACTATACCAGCAGCAATTGATCTAATCTGGCATGGCCATACCTGTATTTTCTTCACAAATCAGAAGAATTGTTTGCTACACAACAGACCCTTCCCAAGGAAGGCTGCACAGCATGGATGTGAGTATCAGAAACCATTGTTTAGCCTCCAGTTTTGGTTGAGGTGTCATACTTTCATTTTTATTTTTCCCCTATATGTAAATCACAGTGCTATGGTATCTGAATACCTTAAATTATCAAAATGAACTATCTTTGCTTTGATTCACACTGTTACTTTGTAACAGGTATGTAATAAGATGGAACAAGTCAGTTTTTTCCCCTCTGATATCACTCAATACAACTAGTGGGTTACAAATTACCCATATACAATACAGTGAATGGTGTAGATGTAACTCCCTCTAAACACACCTTTGGACTGCAGGTACTGCTATAAGCAACTGTGTATGAGACTCAACACAACAAGGCCTGAAAAGAATGGAAATAAATCTCTCTTTACAGCTTGTTCTCATTTGATCAAAAAATTAACAGCCATTTTTGGATCAACTTTTCAAAGTGCAGCTTGACTAAGCTCAAACCCATATTTTTTTTAGGCTATATTTTTGATATAATAATGTGTATGAAAAAAAACAAAAAACAACAAACCAACAACCAATAACTACCACAACAAACCATGATATGTTCATCAAGATTCCACAGTATATGGTGAAGTAATAAGCAAGTCCAACTCTGTCATTTTTTTTTTTTGTATACTGCCCAAGATCATAAAAACTCCCCCATTAGATACTACTTATCAGAAACATGGATGTTGACTATCTTCCAAGTAAGGACTGAACAGTCTACATTCCTCATATTTACTTTTAACTTTTAAATATGTTTCTGTGCTGCTGTACTTCATATCTGCTTGGCTGAGGTGAAATTTGCAAGATCAAGGCTCATATTCATTATGATGAATATAAATGAAATATACCAGTCCCAGTTCTGCATTCACTTCACATTTCAAATATAGAACTCACTTTAAAAGACTGCATACTAAGCAATATAACTTTTGCAATTCATTTCACAGACACTATTTACTTAAATGAAATATACACTTCAAGATGACAAAGAGATGTCCTCTCTTCAGCAGACATGTTGTTTCACAACGGACAGAAGGCCAAGTCAAGTACAACGGGATCCAGCTGAGATTCCAATCCATTTATAACGAACAACACGTAACTCTGCAAACTCACATCTGCATGCCTTTTGGAAGACCTGAGAACTTCCAGCAGCAAACCTGTAAGCTGATCCTAACCTGAAACTGCCAGCATCATTCCGAACTAAAGATTTCCCTTCATCTGTAAAAGTGAATTCATTTTAAAATACTAAGATCTGCTTTTTCTAAAGGCCTGCTAAAGCTCTTAAAGAAACTCTATATGCTTTGCTTACAATCAAACAGGTCACAACTCATTCAAGTCAACATTCAGACAGAACACACAAAAGCACTTTCATTTCAGTAAATATTCTCAACTTCCTGCCTTCAGTGGCTCTCCAGACAGCAGTTTTAAAGAGTCAAAATAACATTTCCTTTCCTTCCTCCTCTCCTCCTTTGAACTCACAAATGAATCACTTTGTTATATAGTTTCCAATAACTTGCTATTTGTCTGGAGAATAAGTTAAAAAGATTCTCTAACACTCAGATACAAAATTAAGAAAAATGTGAGTGCCTAGGGACTGGGATAATACAGGGAATTCAGTTGAAACAACAATTTTGTTTTCTTTACAAATCTTTTCCCACTCCTTTTTTTGGCTCCTTCACTCTTAGCAAATCCTTACGTTCTTCAGTCATATACATACGATTGAAGGATATGCAAAACATATACATATTACAATTATGCGAACTCCTAGTGTTCTGACACACTTCTTCCACATATGCTCATTTCTCCTCTTCCATAAAGAGCATCCAGTTCTGAACTCTCCCATTCCCAAATGTCGGGAAGCATAAGCGCCAATTTCCCTTTTCTGGCTGTATAGAGAAATAGGCCAGCAATAAAAATAACAAATGTTGACTGGGAATTCTCCTGCCCCTGAGGAGATAAATAACATTCACTCCTGGCCTAAAAATTGTTCTCTTTTGGAAGCCACTGTTTACCCAACAGGGCCATACACACTTCCTAGAGGGGAACAGCATGAAATCATCTAAAATTTTGATGCAAGTCTTTTTATCCTAACATTCCTCAAACTTTACAAAATTACAGCCACCTTCTTGATAATACATTTTTGTGCAACTCCTCAAAACTTGGCAGAAACACAGAGGAATGACAGTCAGCTGGATTTCCTGGCTGCGGGTACAAACATTGGCTCTTCTCCCCTGAAGGAATAAACTGCCTCCAGCATCCCGAGAAAATTCACACGTCTCTAGCAAATGGAAAAGAATGCCAACATTTCTTTCTTTCTCCCCACCCTGCAGGTACTGAGCTGCTGCCAATTAACAAAGCATTTCCCCATATTTTGCAATCCCTTTGAACCTTTTCAGGACTTCAGAGGAAACAGTTTTGTCTCTGTGTAAATCTATTCAGTGCAAATGGTACTCACACATACACACACAAAAAAAAAAGAAAAAAAAAAAAGACCACTGCAGCAAAAGCCCTTAGACAAGAGAATCTTGTTAGTTTGTATCCATTATTTGAAACATTTAGTAGTTAGAATATACTTGTACAAAAGCCAAGAATAATCTAGGTGCAATGGAAAGAAGAAATCACAGTAAGACATTAAGTAGATACGAGATAAACCACATTCAAGATTTCCCTAAGTTGGTGATTATATTGGTTTTCCTGCTACTGCCACATTGCTACACACTGTTTTAAATGAACCATTATTTTCTCTGCAGAGTAAACTTACACTGTATTTTAAGTATTAATTCTCAAGTTCTATAAGCCTTTCCTCAAGCTGACTATTGTTCTTACAGCATAAATACTCCCAATGTTTAACAGCATCCTAGTTAAAAAATCCACCCAGTTGCCTGAATAAGTGTATTATTACATTAAAAAAATCTCATGGATGCTATCTTTACAAGGTAGGGTAAGAACTCACGAAATCAGCTTCAAGTTTTCCCATTTCTTGTTTGTAGCTTCTCATTCGACTGCTGTACATCCCCCGACTTTGAGGTGGGATCTCTCGGACTTCAAGCTCCATCTGCTCGAGCTACCAAGTAAAAGCAGAGAGATGCAAGTTGAAGTGACAACTAAAGCAAGAAGGTGTTTGTAGTTGAAGGTGTCCCTCACCATGACAGGAGTTGCAACTAGATGATCTTCCAACCCAAAACACTCTATCAGCCTGTTTAGCTAAATGCTCACAAATACCAAGAAACATTCTCTGTCAAGAAAAGTGTTGTCAATCCTATTGACAATATAGAAATATGTTAGAAAAATCTTTACACAGCATAAAGTCAACTAATTAATGACAAAAGTGGCATTATTAACACTTTAAAAAAATGATTCTATTTAAACCTTTCTGGATTTCAGTTTCAAATGCAGTGAATACACTGATGAACATCACACAGAAGACACCCAACCTCCACCTAGTTGTGTGGTTCCACAAATTGTATTTTATTTATCTTTGTATACACACACATTTTATACAGACATATAAATGTATAAAATTTTATCTACCCACCATCTCTATGTGTAATAAAATAATTATTGTACTTTTCTGCTTATTCAGCAGCATTAAGTAGCCTGAGCTTTCTGAACCGGCTGCATAAATCTACATCCCAAATCTGTATGCAGGTACATTAAACAACTGGATTTTAGAATTGTAATAAAAATATTGTTCAAGAACTGGTATACAGTTGAATGCATAAAATGTCAGACAATTTATCTTTAAAATGGTTTTGCTACTTATTTTTGACATGCAGAACTTTAACGGGCCTGAAAAGCAAGAATATGACATCAGGTTGCAGAAAATCAAAAGGAGTTATAAACCAGGGCTGACTCGCCTGCTAATTACCTGCCCACTGGGTTAAGGAAACACCTTTACACAGTGCTGGCTCCTCATGAATTCTGTTGTGCACAGCTAAAAAACTCCCATACCTGCTTTTAAAATCTTTCCAACTTAATTTAAAAAGATAAAAGAACAGCTCTCCTTGTTTGCTGTAAATACCTGAAACAATATTTACTCACCTCCTACTGATCTCAGCTGAGCAATACACCATTGGAACAGAAATGCCTTTCAATTAAGGTCCCAAGCTTCTGGTTACAGGTCTTCACAAGGGATAGTTAGAGTTTATTCCTACATAATCACTAACTTACACTTTGAGATTTCATCCTCATAACATAAAGAAGCATCTGAATTTAATCAAGTGAATTACCAGAAACTGGAAAGTCATTCAGTCTGATCTATTCTGATTATACAAAATGGTATTTGATAATAAACTGTAGAGCTGACTTTTTAATTAAATAGTCAGTAATGAATTGAAACATCGAAAGCTGTTTCTATATCTACCCAGTTCTTTGGTGCAGGCTTCACTTTCCAAAGGGGTATTATAAATTAAACTGATAGCTACAGTAAATGGTTTATTTCTTATCATTTCACCCCAATAGACTTTATCTTGAACATTCCATAAACATAGAAAATGTTTCCCTTACATCTATTTATATGTGCAAGATCAGGATATTTTAATGAAGTCTCAATGCTTTTCTATTAAATAAAAGTGAAGTCATCTCCCAAATGAATACATCTATTGCAGCCATGATCAGAGCACAGTACACAATATCCAAAATCCTCATTCTAAACAGTGAATATCAGAGAGCATAAAGTCTAAGAGACATCTGTGATGTTCCTGAAGATGTTACAGGCAGTGACGAAGAATCCATATTTGTCTGAGATGGGGGTGGAGATGGGAGGGGGAAGTGAGTGGGTGTTATCATGACTTTGAACAGGTACATTCTGTGGCTGTAGTGAAAATCTCCATGCCAGTCCTTGCAGAAGACAGTGGTCCAAGCAGATGTGAACCTAAATACAACCTCATTTTACACTGAAGTTTATCTCAATGTTCATCTATCTTAAAAACCCAGTGAGAAATCTTGCAGATGCTCTGGTTTGGCCCTACCTGAAGTATTGTGCAGTTTTGGGTGCCAGAATACACAAAGGACATAAAACTATTAGAGAGCAACCAAACAAAGGCTATGAAGATAGGGAAGGATGTGGAGGGCAAGACATGTGAGGAGTGCTGAGGTCCCTGGGTTTGCTCAGTCCAGAGCAGAGGAGTTGAGGGGAGTCATCATGGCAGTCCACAGCTCCTCACAGGGAGCACAGGAGCAGCACTGAGCTCTGCTCTCTGGGGAAAGCATCAGGGCCTGAGGGAACAGCATGGAGCTGCATCTGGGGAGGGTTGGGGGTTAGGGAAAGATTCTGCACCAGAGGGAGGTGGGCATGGAAAAGGCTGCCTGAGGCAGAGGGAATGGCACTGAGCTGCTGGAGCTCAAGAAGCATTTGGACAATGCTCTTATACGTAGAGCTTGGATTTTGGATGGTCCTGTCAGGGGTCAGACTCAATCCTTCTGAGTAACTTCCAACTCAGCATATCTACAATTGTGTGACACTCTGCATAGGATACAGGAATGACAGGATTTCTCTCCAGAAACCTCTTACTTAGCAGCTATGGCTTTACAAGGCAGTCTGGGAATAACATTTTGGTGTCAGTTCTGTATACAGGTCAAATGAATTACAGCAGCGATGCTACCCAAACAAAGCAAACAGTGTTTTAAAACAATCAGTGGTTACTCAGCGTAAATAAAATATCTCTACAATAATATTTATAAGAAAGTTGTTTCTTAACCAATTAGGAAATAAACCAAAACAAAATAAGCAAAGCTTTAATCGGACAAGAGGAAAAACAAACTCTTGTACAAAAACTATCAATGCCAAAGAATTAGGATTATTTTGGCTTTCTAGCGTAGCTTCTCATTTAAAAGAGGATCTTTTTAATCAGTTCTGTTATTATCAAGTTTGCTCAAATTGATTTTAAACCCAAGCCTTGACATTAATCACAAACATCTAAGGTAATTACTTAAAGCCAATAATTGAATTAAGCACCTGTCTAGCAGCATTAGCAACAAGATCTAAAACAAAAGTGTGAAAGAAAAGTCAGTATATGAAATCAAGATCATCATTAGGATGAAAATGCAGATATAAAGATTTCGTTTTTACTCTCATAATAAGTAAAATGTAGATGAATTTTTTCTGACATAAGAAGAAAACTAATGAATCATTAACTCAATTTCTGTTCCTTCCAATCTTCCTTTGATTAGAGAACCAAATGTTAGTGATTTTTCAACATAACACTCATGCTGCAATTTCCCTGTAGTGCTATGCCTTTTTTTGCCATGTCAAGTTGCAGTGAAAAGCAGATGAAAAGCACTTCTACTTATTTTCTTATTCTTCTTTTTTTCTTTCAGCTTTTTGAAAATGAAAGTGTCCCAAAGACCTTAATATACCCTCACAACAGCCTCGTGACATGGACAGCAGTTTTACCATATACAGTTTTACTGTATTTCTCACTGGCAATACTAAATGAGAGAGGTTAGGTCTTTTGTCATCCTCATCAGGTAAACCTGCAGTGGAGTTCCACCAAGATTCAGCTTTCCTGGGTCCTATTTCAATGTTCTGCCTACAAGACTAATTCCGCCCTTACTCTAAAAGCACCTGGTATGTCAACACATTAAAAACCTTTTTCTTTCTATGCCACAAACTTTAGAAAGTGATTTTCAATATTACCATTTAGTTAGTAATCAAATAATTGATTCAAGGTGCTCAACTTGAAGAACTTTCACACCAGTAGAACTAATTTCATTTCTTTATCCCAAAAATCAGATTATATCTCTGACATCAGATAGACCAAATGAGTTACATTTGCAAACAATAAACAAAAACAGCTTCAGGCAAAGAACTATTGGCATGTGGAAAAAAAATCAATCAATCTTAACTGAAACCTACACCTTTACTCTACAAAACCTTATTTTTATACTCCACCCACTTAGAGTATAAGACAATTTGTAGTGGAAACAAAACAGAAAAAGCCACAGATGCTTAATGTGTATTGTATTCTTCCACCAGTGTGGACCACTAACTAATACTCAGTTAACATTTATGCTCTTCTCAGTACCTCAAACTACCTTTATTCCTTTGACATCAAACAGCTAAATACCCTTTGTCTCATTTGCTAGAAGAGAAAGCAAGACTTATTACAAGACAATTGGACAGATCAAATCAAGCAGACATACGGGACCTAGAAGAAAAAATATATTAGGTATTAAAACATTTAATTCATTTTTTAAAGTACAAGACCTTATTCCCAACTCAAAGACTGAAGCAACTTCTAGTATCTTGCAATAATAATATAAGCTTTAGATCACTTAATACAAGATTAACTTTTTTATACACTCCTCTTGAGTACATCATATTCTCAAATATTTCATACTCTATTACACTACTATTAAAACCTTTCAGAGAACCAGGTGAGTTAAATGTTACCACTAATGATACCAGTTCTCCCCAGCAATTTAGAGTTAGCATACAAAAAGCCACAACATACCAGTTCCCTTGCTTCTTCAAGCTGCTTCTCAATATTTGCAACCATCTGCTTCTTTTCATCTGAAAAACAATTGTGAAGATACCAATATAATTGTGGTCTTGCCATGAAAAATATATAGTATTTCAAAATAAGCTTGCAAGTAAAAACTTACTCAAGGAATGCATTGTGTGACATAAGCACATACTTCAATAGCCACATTTGCAAATTAAAAAAGAGAGAGAGAAAGAGCGAATGGAGAATGCTTGGAGTCTTCTGCCTTTTTTTCCAGTGCTTGCTACTTCTGAAAGTAGCTCCAGATATATGAGTTTTGCCTTAGCAGGTACATGCTGGGTGTGTACAAATTCATGTGAGAAAGTATATATTCGAGCCAAATGGATAAATATTTATGGTTTAAAGACTTATCCTGTTTATTAGAAACATAGAAGTTGAAAAAAAAACAAAAAAAAACAAACAACCAAGCAATCCAATTACAGTGAGACCAGGAACTGAAGATTAAAGAGGTCTCTATTCCTCTCCTCCTGAGGCTGAGCCTAAAGCCCTGGTCCTTTTGCTTCAACAGGAAAAAAAATGAAATGTCACAAGAATCACAAAAAAGACCACCTTACAGTAGCAGTAAAAACAAAGTTAAGTAATAAAAGTTGAAAATAAAAAAAAAATACCATATTCTGTTATAAGTTGTATGTAGCAATAAGGCAGGAATCAGGGGATGCCAAGGCAGTAATCAGTAACAGAAGTCTTGACACATAAAGCAACATGTGCCCTTAAAAAAGCCTTCCTTAAAAACAACAGAACTAGTCCTGAATGTTTTCCCAGTGTAAGCAAGTTGAATTTCAGCTAAGTCCTCCCATTAGTGCTATAAACACCCTGCATCACATTTGCATGGGCCTATTCATCTCCACCACAACTGGTCTCTACCATTTCTTCAAATTCTCTCATTTACCCAGTATACTCATTGAGGGTAACATCGTGGTCGATCCTTCAGTTACATACACTGGAGCACTGCCTGCAGGGAAGATCAGGTTCAGGATCACATTTCCACCTAAAACACAGCACAGAGATCTTCACAAATAGCAGGCATGGCACGGACTAGAAGAACTATCTTCTGAGGATTCACCATCCTATGGGTGGCAGTTTCTCAAGAACGAAGCATATGCTCTGGGTTATCACCCAAGAAGCTGCTATGGTATTGTGGGGTACGTGGGCAACTCATTTCCAGTCCGAAATTGAGGCTATTATCTGAAGTCCTTAACTAAGGGAGAATTCTTCTTAAAGAAGCCCAAATTCTCAAGAACAGCCATCTGGAATTTTAGCCAAGACTCCTGAGACAGGACTGGATAAACACGCAGCCCAGTGACAGTGAGGTTCACCAGGAGCAAAAAGAGACTCCACTTTGACTTCATTGTATGAGCAAATCAAGGTGTGTGTATGTTGTAGCAGTAAGAACTAAACAGGATGTCTCAAAATATTGTCAAATGGTGATATCCTCTGAGTAATGAGAACTATACCAGCGATAGAAGTGAGAAGGAAGCACTTTAATCCTCTCAAAAATAAAATCTTAGAGCTCACCTTTAAATCCTTACAAACAGAGCTTCTCTCTTACCCTTGAAAGAGGCCCAGAATTTCATCAAGTTATCCCCTCTACAGACCTGAAGCCATGGAAAAAGACCATCTTCCTTAGCAATCTTAAATTCACACTGCCATATCTGGCAGATGCTACCACAGCAGAATGTGGGGGAGATGTTCATTTCTGTGCAGCACTTTGCATTCTTTGCTAGTGTCTTTCCTAAATCTCCCACTAAATTCTTATGACAGTACTCAAATCAGAAAAACTTAATGGCAAGACATTTATCTTCTGAACATAACGAAATCCAAAAGAGAATCTGTTTCCTTGTCCATACATTTCAAATCCCCTACTCAGCTCCCAAAATATCTGTTCCTCCATTCACCTGGAAGCAGGCAAGATGCCATTGGACCAAGGAAAAAACAACATAAGAGATAAAATGCACAATACCATTTTATTGAAGCTCAAATAAAATTACAAACACAGCAGCAGAAAATAAATGTACCATAGCAATTTCAGTACATCCCTGAGTACCACTGGATTACAATTTTCATACACATTAAATTAAACAACTTTATATTCCTAAATTTCGCGGGGGGGGGGGAAGGGAAGAGTATTATTATTTTGAAGATATTTTATGCTGTTCAAATTCTGTGTGTACTTACACAAGCTACATAGCATTTCATTGAATATTCAGTTACCCTATCGCTAAGCTCATTAAAGCCCAATACAGTCATTTACACACACCAGATGATTTACTGAACATAAAAATACAAATTCCTGTGCCAACTCAACTGCTATCAGTGCAATTTTAGCATTAAGCTTCTGATTCTCTGTGCTATTGTTCAATGGTGATGTTTTCCTTTGCTGGTACATAAACATTTGAAGGAATCTATAACAAAATGTTCATCAGTCATTGAACTCCAGACCTATAACAACATCCAACTCTTTCTCCAAATGCACAATACAATCATATGCATCTACTCTGTAGATATTCAAGCAACTCTTCCACCTAGTACTGCCAAAACATCTAGGCCTGTTGTTCATGCCAGCAAAAGAAGCATGAAATGCTACAGCTGGATTCATTCACATAGTTCCAGACTTAATGCCATGCCTATGCCTAAGAAACAACCACTGTTTTTCCACAGTCAGAATGCCCACAGAAAGGGAAGACACGACATCCACAAGAAGATGTGCTCAGAGACTGTATGCAGATGAGCTCAGAGTAAAGGAAGCTTGCTGCAGATCTAGCAGATCAGGACAAACAAGCTGTGATCCAATTAAAGATTCTCATGTTACTGGTGCATTACCCTGCTTTGTTTTAGTAGTTTCCAACCTACTTACTTAATTTTGTCTAGTACACTTCCATCATATAAAATACTGAGTATTTTTTTTATGTATACATAACTTTTCTCTTAATTCAGAACTGGCAATATCCTCTAGAAAAAATAAAAGGCAATTTTACACCAAAGATATCTAAACTTAGAATGTAATTTTCGTTCTTGCGCTACCAGACAGAAAGCTGTTAAGAAAATGTTGCACTTGGCTTGTATATCTTAACTGTTCACATAAGTAAAGTATAAAGAATGGAAACAAAAGTAAGGAATCTGAGTAAGGACTGCAAAGAATCCTGAATGTGTACACAAGGTTGTACCACTTGTGTAAATAAGGCCAGCTTTTATTACATTTTCCTCTGTTCTTTCAGTTTTGCCCTTGCATTAGGCACTGTGACAGAAGGGCAGATAACTTACAAGTATAGAAAGGTAACGCATCTCTGACATGAACTAACAGTAAAGGAAATTTCATTGCTTGTGGAATTGCTTTTTTTTATTAGTACACACTGAGGAAAAGTGTAAGTGACACAGAACTTCAGTTTACAGAAGTTTTATCATTTGCAGATTTCACTACACTGGCTGAGGAGCTTTACTCTAATACCACTTTGCCAGAGTTTACTGTCTAACAGTAAAGACAAAAAAAATCCACGTACTGCTCCATTTCTCTTTGGGCCGTAAGACTGGGTTCTAGAGGCACAGTCATAAAATGCAAATAGCAAACTGCATTACTGGGATATAACAGAAAATTAATGGTAGAACTTTCTCCAGTTAAACCTGATGCACAGTGCTTTGACTGCCCAGTAGAAGATGCAGATGTCACGTAGCAGCCCTCCAGTCAAAAACATCACCTCACAGAGGCTACTATGCTAGAAAAAGGCTAAATATCCCAATTTGTACTGAGAACATTTTCTTTCAGATCAAGCAATTAAAATAGATATAAATGTTTGGTCAAACCACAAGACAGATGTTTCTCGACAACACTGAGGAACATTAATAAAACACATCAGTCAAGATCTTCATTCTCCAAAGACCTGCAGCAGCATCACAGAAAATCTATTCAAAAGCCATTTCTTAATTTAAAACATTTTCTTTAATTCTCCAGGTGGTGCTTGGCTCAACAGAAGATATTTCTTCCTCAGACGTTCTACTGTCCCTGCTGCTTATTGTTTCTGCAGTATCAGAGTGTCTTTGTTTCATTTCTTGCTGAACTATTTATGCCTCTGTGACAACAGGATTGTTTGTTGAGCCATCATCCTTCTAGAATGTAAGACAGCATCAAGTCCTGTCAACACTGCATGCAGGAATAATAGCAAAACAATTAACCAGTATTTCTCCAACTGCACATGAAGCTTAGAGCAGGTCCATCTCGGGAAGGAGGAGGAAATAAATCTGTCTCTAGACTTTGGGAGATCTCTCTGTATTATTCAGGAGTAGCACAAGTCCTTACACTTCTCATCCTGCTTCTTCCAGCGTGGAGGAAGAAGGCCATCAGCAATCTCAAATCACTGCTGCTGAAAAATGCCACCTCCCGTGCATCTCTCCTCATGTCCCCCTCCCACCTTGAATCACATTCCTCTTTTTGAGGCTCTCCAAGCCATCTCCACAAGAACTAACTGGGGCTTCTGGTGATGAAGAAGTTTTGATCTTGCAAATATTCCTAGTAAGAAACAAGGGAAAAATGTGCATTTAAAATATTTCTACTTAAAGTGTTCAGCATAGTCAGAGTTGTGTTTTGCGTACCCAGGTGGTAAAATGCCTCTACTAGCTAAGACTGCAGTTTGGTTTAAAATCATAACTGAACATTTTGCTGAAGAAAGACAGAACAGTTCTGAAAATTAAAGCATTTTATCCGCAAAAGTACAATGCAAGAAGGAGCTATAAAGCAAGCCAGCCCAAGATATATAAGACTAGCCTCAAATGCTAACATGGAGAAACCAGCTCTTAAAATAATAAATTAGCTGTTGTATTATTTTGAGGCCATTCAGCTCTGTACCAAACTATTGATCCCACAGGGAACACGCATTCCTTCTCCTCTGATAGGATAGTAAATTCTAAAAAAAAACAAACAAATCAACGACAAAAAAAACCACATTTCTAATGGCCACTTAAAGAATTATGAATTCAAAGCCTGTTGCTTCCAAGCTATGTCACCAGTGAAGACAGTGCTCCTTGTTAATTTCATATTTAAGCTCCAAAGCCTCTCTAGAGTTATAAGGTGGCTGTCTTTGAAGAGAGAATTAAGGAAAATCCACTGCTGTAAAGAAAAATATTCTTCCAACCAAGAAAATGATACTGATGACCTCTATAATCTATACATTTAGGAAATCAAATCTCTGTTCCTCTTCAATAAGCTGTCCTTGAAGCACTGCCAATTTTCAAAACAGAAGGCACTGTCATATTTATGATGTCTTCCTGTACTCACAGGAGCTCCTTATACTTACTCTGCTTAAACATGAGCAGCTCTTTTTGAGGCAGGGGAAAAAGAAATGCTGCCTAGATTAGGCACACCACAATAGTGAACAATTAACTGTGCCTCTTCAGTAGATATCTGTAGAGGCTATTTGCACGTTAAACATCGTTTCAGGTAACATCAATTACACTCATTCTAAATCTAAATCTAAATCACAGGAATGCAATCTCATAAGTACCTTCAGATTGTGACGGAATTATGCCGTCTTTTTTTGCTTTGCTAAGTCAATGAGGAGGCAAAGTTTCCCATCCTTTAGCTGTGCCTATGATTGGTCACTGAACTCCAATTTATCAAAATTTCAATTTATCAGAAGACCTTCCAATTCCTTGTCATAGAATTAGATATAACCTCCCAGAACCAAGCTTGCCAAAGTTCAAGAGGCACCTAGATAATGCTGTCAGACATATGGACTGATTTTTGCATGGCACTGTGTGGAGCCAGGAGTTGATGATCTTTGTGCGTCCCTTCCAACTTGAGACATTCTGTCACTCTCCAATTCAAGAACAAACAGAGTTTACTGAACGTGAACATGGTTTAGCAAGAACGGATGGTGATAGGTGGACGGCTGTATTGGATGATGGTGTAGGTCTTTTCCAACCTTGGTGACTCCATGATTCTATGAAAATCCCTGTTCACTCGTTTTAAATGCATTTTGGACCTTTGGCTCAGCAGTGCACTGAGATTACATGTTTTAATTAACCACCTGTCTCAAATTCTCTTTAAAGAATTTACTTCATCACCACCCTAAAAACAGGACATTACACTTTGGTCCTTTAGTCACATAGAAAAGCATACCATTAGCACGCGTGCTGTGACACCCTCTCTGTATGATACCCATTCCCACACTCTGAGCATCCTAAAACTTTGGGAAACAGATACAGGGGTTTCATTGAGGTGAGCTACGTGAGGAAGAGGTGAGGAAACCCGATTTCAGCTTCCCTCTGCCCTACTCAGGAGCACCACATCAGAGCACCGATTCACACTTCGCTGCTGGGTTAGTCTTATTTCTATCTCTCTCCCTCACACTCACAGACATGCCTGCAGGGATACGTCAGGAGACCATGAGTACAGCAGCCGGCGACAAACACCTTGACGTACACAAGCACCGATTTCCTCCTACGTGCGAGTCAGCACAGCCTCAACTGCCCTGACAGCAGGCAGCAAAAGCACCCATTCGGACGAAACCCCGCACAAGCTCAGCCCATGCACTCGCTCAGCCTAACCGTGACCAAGGGCCGGTCCCGCAGCACGAAGCGCGGCTCGCGGCCGCTCGGCGACGGCTCCACCAGCGCTGTGCCCGCCCCGCCGCCGGGAGGCTCCGTGCAGCCGGCGGCTCCCGGCCCCGCCGCTCACCTCCGAGCAGCTTGGGCACCCGGCCGATCCTTCCCGTGATGTCGGCCGTCAGCACGGCGAAGTCCTGCTCGTAGCTCTCGAAATCGGACGACATGGCCTCGCCTCGCTTCGCCTCGCCGCAGGGTCGGCCCGGCGGGGACGCCGCGCTTCGCCGCTCTCCTCGAAGCCGCTTCCGCGTTCTGCTCCCCGCAAAGCCGTCCCACCGCCGCGGGTTCCGGCACACCGCCCGCCCCTCGGCCGCCCGTTTCCCAGCGGGCCGCAATAGCGCGCGGACCGCCTCCGCCTCGCGGGCCGCGCTGGGCGGGCGGCCCCGCTCCCAGCCGCCTCTCGGGGCGGGGCCGAGGCCCGGCGGGCCCCAACGCCTCCCCTTCCCTTTCCCGTTCCTCCCGGCGGGACGGCGAGGGGCTGAGGGAGCCATGCGCGGCGGCGAGGAGGGGTCGGGCGGGCGGCGGCGGTAGCGGCCATGGGCGGCCCCGGGGGGCTGCGGGAGGTGCGGCGGCTGTGCCACTGGGGGCCGCTGGTGGCCCTGTCCGTAGTGATCGTCTGCTCCGCCACCGCCATCGCGGACGCCGTGCTGTGGTACTGGCCCCTGGACACGGCCGGGGGCAGCGTCAACTTCATCATGCTCCTTAACTGGACCGTCATGATTCTCTACAACTATTTCAACGCCATGTTTGTCGGCCCCGGGTACGTCCCGCTGGGGTGGACACCGGTAAGAGCAGCTTCGTGCCCGGGCTCGGCTCGGCGGGGTGGGATTGGGGGGGCGCGGGCCTGGCCCTGGGTGCTCACACCTGTCCTGCGGGCCGCTCCGCGCCTGCGTGGGAACCTCCGCTCGCCTCCGTGCCCCGCGCCCCTCTGTGCTGACACGCTGCGCTGTGCTCAGCCGTCACGCGGTGCTCATTCCTGAGGAGGGCCACGAGGATGATCAGAGGGCTCCGTTCTGTGAAGAAAGGCTGAGGGAGCTGGGCTTGTTCGGCATGGAGGAGAGCTGGCTCCGGGGAGACCTCAGTGCAGGCTTGCAGTAATTGAGAGGAGCTTGTAAGCAGGAGGGGGACTGACATTTTGCACAAGCAGATGGTAATAGGGGAGGGGGATTGGCTTGAAACTAAAAGAAGGGAGATTTGGGTTGGATGTTAGGAAGAAATTCTTTACTCACATGCTGGCAGTGCTGCCCATCTCTGGAAGCATTCAGGGCTAGCTTTGATTGGGCCCTGATCTGGTGGGAGCACCCCGCCCATGGCTGGGGTTGGACTTCTTTGGTTGAGGACCTTCCAACCTCAGCCACTGTGTGATTCTAACATGCAGTAAGACAAGGTAGAAGTTTGCCTTTGTTTCAGTAACCTGTGGGAAGAGGAGTGGCTGGGGCCAGAACATTGCAGACTCAGCATCTTCAGACAGCTGCCCAGAGCTGGAGCTCAGGGCCATGATGCACAAATCAGTTATAATCACTCCTACTTGTGGAGCGTTTCTCAAAACGAAGTGCACTACAGAGTATCCAAGTAGAGTCCCAGCAGGATACTGGGATACTCTGCTTGGCCCATTGCTACTGTTTACTGTCTACAAGTCCATCTCTCTGCACAAACACTTCTTCTCTTCCCATTTTTTTTGGCCCCACGCTGGTTTATATTCTCAGATGTTCACTATAAAACCCTGCTTGCACAATTGTTATTTCTCCAAATTGCTTATTTGTTTAAGCAAGCAGTACTTTCAACAGTGATGGTTATGTTGATAATGGAGAGAGTTCTTTTATTTTTTGTTTTGGCTTAGGAGGGTTGGGTTATGGAACACACCCTGCCAGAAGAAGGCGGATATGCATAAGGCCACCATGCAAGTGCTAAGATATGTGATGTCAGCAGAATTATGTATTCTGTGTAATATGCCCATTCTTCTATTCAAAGGAAAAATCTCAGGATTGCATGTATCTCCAGTACTGTAAAGTGTGTCAGTCTTACAAGGCACCACGTTCACACCACTGTCGAAAGTGTAACAGGTACAGTCTCTTTAAAGTTGGTTTCTGTCTGTATGAAAAGCAACTTCATTGCGAGTGATGAGCTGCTAAAATAAATTCATTCTGGTCTTGTGCTGTATATATTTTAAAGATTTCACTACAAACACTGCTTCAAATACTTCCAGTTTCCAGTTGTATGACTTCTCTGTGTTCTTACAGTGTTATAATTAAAGAAAAATGAATAACCTACCTTTAACATTTTCTTTTCAGCTGGAAATAATTTCTCCTGGGAACTTGGCAGGGTTAAAATATGTCAGTACTGTTTCAGAGAGATGAGCCTGTGTAAATATCTAAAAATCTTCCAATCCTTTTTTTAAGTTGTGAGTCCAAGCACTCTCACGTTCAGTGAGCAGGAAGGTCTGTTATGCTATCTTTCCAAATGGGAATAACTTGTAGATTTAAGAGGAAATTTTGGACTGTTTCTTACCATTCACTTGAGGATTTGTTTGGTTTTTTTTTTTTTCAAGAGAGGTCTGTTTAAGTGAACTGATAAGCCTTTTGGGTCAACATAAAAAGCTTTTGGCTTTTTTGTGTGTTAGTCCTGCAACAGACCTGTTTTGAGCTAATGTTTTTAAGCTTTTATTATAAATAGCTGCACTGGAATTTAGTGTGTCTTGGAACAAGCAAGCCACTTGTGCTGTCTGCAGTCCAGGCTGTAGATGCATTTATCTTTTTATTGGGTAGGTCCTCCTCTGGAGGATTGCTGGAGAACATGGTAAGAGGGTATTGCAGTGTGCACATTTACTTGTTGTTGCTATAAATACAAGATACCCAATCAGTGCTTTCAGGAAGTAGAGACTGAAAACAGAGCAATGTTGCAATTTGCTGCATCATTCTTGAGTTTTAAAATAAGACTCCTTTCTCTGAGTGACAATCCTTGTGTTGATAGGATATTAGAAATTGTCAGCAGATGCCTGTGATTATCTTTACAAAAGCAAGTTCTAGTTTATTTCACTAAATTATTAAAGGCAGAAACCACAGCACAGTCTACAGATCATTCTGCTGATATGTTTTAAGCAGTTACTGCCCCTTGGCTCTGGCCAAAATAACTCACACTGTGTGTATCTCTAGACTGCAGCAGTGCAGCGAGGTAGTTAATGTAAATCACAACTGAAAATCATCTGTGCAATGGCAGTTTTCAGTCCATGAATGGATTAAATTGTGGTGGTCCTTATGAATCTTCTAGCCCAGATTAAGGAGCTTCTTCAGAAACAGCTGAGCTGATGATTATGATCACATTTTCAAAAACTTGTACAGCAACAGCTGAACATACATTAACAAAAAAGTGTTAATTCTTTAGAAGGTAAAACTGAGCTTCCTATCGGGAATGTAGTAGCTTAAAAGATAAATGAGATCAATAGTTTGAAATATCTGTTTTCAGAGAAGCTGGATATCTGTGTAATTCGGCCCTTTGTTTATCACATATCGTAGGTCTGCAAAATTGCTATTAGTAAGTGGTGTGAGGTTAGTATGTAGCAGTTAATGAAGTCTTCAGAGGCCTTCTGCAGAAAGCGAGAGACGTTTAATGTCTCTTAATATGCCTCTGTTGGTGTATCTTTGTGTGTTCTATATTCAGGAGGTCCAAAGGACATTTGATATTTTGTTTTCTTGGTGTGCTTATTTTATAAAGAATTGGCAGCAATATTTATGGTTAATTATTACATTTGTACTCTTAAACTTCCCATGCCTCTGCACATTGGCTCTGAAATGTGGTATTTATTAGCAACTAGTAAGTTTGAATAAAGAGAAGGAAGGACAACGGGTGAGAGTAGGACCTTCTAGTACTTTCTTTTTTGCTTTCTTTTGTTCTACAGCATGAAGTACTATTTTGAATAACAAAAATCTCAAAATATACTTTATTGGTGGGATTAAGCGAAGATGAAGTTGTAGCAAGTTAGCAGTCCTTTCCTTTGATTTTCTTTTAAAGCATCATTGATGTTGTCTATATTAATCACCATTTGTTATTTACAGGTGTGTCATGAAGATGGATCACCATTGCCCTTGGATCAACAACTGTTGTGGTTACCAGAATCACGCATCTTTCACTTTGTTTCTCCTCTTAGCACCACTAGGATGCATTCACGCATCTTTCATATTTGTAATGACTATGTACACTCAGCTTTACAACAGAGTAAGAAAACATAGTTAAGTGCTTAAAATGTTCTTAAAGTTGGATGGGTTATTTATTCTTGGGAGCATGGGACAATTTGCTTTCCTGAAAAGAAGCACGTGGAATTCCTTTTGTTCTTTCAGTGTGTGCTGTTTTGCTCTTTGCATTTTGAGAAGAATGTTCAGTATTAGGCGAGGGATTCAAAAAAATGTTTGGTTCTTCCTCCACCCCCCCCCCCCATTTTTTTTCCCTCCAGTTGCTTGTCATAGCCACAGAGAGTTTGCTAGAGCTTTGTGCTGACTGAACACTGATTGTGAGTAGAACATATCATGTGTTATACTTTACCACAAGTTAAGTGCTATTTATCTTCTTCTGCTCTCCACTGTTTAGAATTGTATCATTTTCTTCAAGAACATGATATATTATACCTTGGGAGCCACAAATAAATTATGTTGAATTTGTTTTAAAAGTAGAAAAATTAAGAGAACAATTAGGAAAGCTTCTTGTGGAATACATCCCTCGTTCCAGATCTTTGGTTAAGATTTTGATCTTTGATTTTTAACCTTTGCGGTTGCATCGAAAAGCTTGAAGACATTAACTCAGTCTAACAGATAACAGCTCTGTGCTGTGTTTGCAGAGCAGTAACAGTACGAACTGCTAATTGCAGAAGCTTTCAGAGGAAAACCTGTAGCATTTCCATTGAAAATAGATACTGAGCCATGCACGTGTTTTCTCTCAGAAACTGTTGAGTGTGTTCTGTAGTGTGGATTTTTGCTGCAGATTTTAGGCCTAGTTTGTGGTGGAATTTGCTACGTAGCAATTTGGGTTTAGTTTTCAACAAAGAACGAAGAGGAAAAATTAGAACAAGAAAACTTTTATATGTATATATAAATATAAAATATAAAGCATTTTACTTATATATTTATATATAAATAAACAAAAGTAGATATATACAAAATTTTATCTACCCCACTTGCATTATGAGCCTATCAGAGGTTGAGCACACACCTTCAGATTACTTACAGGTAACTAGTTTGATTTCAACAGTTGTTATGTTTCAGACCTGAATAAGAATGCTTTCCCTTTGCAGATATCTTTTGGGTGGAGTTCTGTAAAAATTGATATGAGTGCAGCCAAAA